AGAGACTACAAGAAGGCTGTGGATCACTTCTTACTTGTACTAGTTGAAGATTTTAGTGCGATGAATGTGTTTCCATGGGGTAAGTCGCTGTTCGACAAACTAGTAAATTCATTGAGGGAGGGGTTGAGTAAGATATCAACACATTACAGACTCAGAGGCTTGCTTGTAGCCTTTCAAGTGTGGATTTACAAGATAATTCCCAGTCTCGATGGATACACGACGAGAAGGATTTTCAGAGTGTACCCCAGGATAATGAACTAACGGCTAATGATCACCCTTCGGCTGTGAAGCTTGAGGGACTTGAATGCTTCTCCAATCCGAACGTAAGTGACCACCGATGCAGCAGTACTGGTTTCAAAATATTAAACTGGCACATTTTTTTCATGTTCCAGATCATATTTCTTAGGTCACAAGTATATTTCGTCAAGTCACAAATTGCATTCTCGAAGTCACAGATTTACTCATTATGTCACGGATCATTTCATACTAGGTCACAGACATTTTCACGACGCCATTTGCCCTTGTTATATCACAATTAATGGAAACAAATTGAATATGTGTGATGTGCAAAACTATATCCATTTGTTTATACATAATTTTTGGTTATTGACATTGTACTTTTTGTTGTGATATGAATGGCAATTGGAAATATGTGACCTGGACCCCCCACCAGCTGAAATGGCAATGCCATACATGAGTCAAGTGCAGTATAAGAAACCTATCCTACCCGATCGGTCACATGGGGAGAAGAGAAAGGGTGGTAGCATACACCGATCAGATCATCGTGCTGGGACTAGTACAAAACCAAGTAATTCAGGAATGAAACAATCTACTCCCATGCTTTTGATAACTGATGGACGATTGGATCACTCTGATCTCCCCATTGATGATGATAACTTTGTTGATGCACCACCCAGTTGGAAGGGGACATCAATCCATGAAAATTCTCCAAGTGGGGAGCGTAAGTTAGATGACACCACTGATTCAGAGGATATGCCGTCAAAAGATATAAGCTCTTCCAATTTCATCTATCATGTCACGAGTCCATTTGGTCACATAAAAATTCAGGTCACATATTCAGGTCACGGGTTTCAGTGATTAGGTCACATACTAATACACATTTCATTGCTGATCACAGATCAATGTTATATTTCATCATCATAAGTTTACTGATTATAGGTATTCATGTGATGCAGGTGGTCGACGAATTGAGGAATTATTTCAAAGGGCAGATATCTGATCTACAGTCTGAGAATCGGTTGCTAAGCAAACATCTCAAGTCAATGCAGTCACAAGTGTCATCTTTAAAGTCTGATCAGCAAAGGAAACTGAAGCTGCTAGTTCATATGCAAGGTGAAATTCGTACTGACATGTTGGACATCAAAGCACGCATGCAGTGTATGTCTGATTCTGTGACTACATTGATATCTAGTTCAATGGAAGAAATTATGAAAAAATTCAGAGAGAACGCAGGACCAGAAATTGTTGTAGGATCTGGACCAACATGCGAAGTCAGTACCCCAACTGTGACTGCCTCTTATTTGTCTGTTACCACAAACCGTTTGATATACACTTCTCATCAAATGCATTTTTGCTCTGATTTTTAGGCTGCAAAAGTCGAACGAAGTGTTGATTCGAAAGGCAAAGTGAAGGTTGACTCTGTGTGTGCAGTTGAATTTCCATGTTCTATTGAACCTCCATCCTTTGATCTCGGTCTTGGATTCACACAACTAAGCCAGATTGTTGCAAAAACATCTAAGGAAGTTGAAGTGCAAGTGGAATCGGTCATATCCGATGTTTTGAAGGACACGGAATGTTTTGCACAAGAGGTATCAAAAAATCTATGTATTTTTGTTGATTAATGCATGTCACATATTAAAAATGCAGCACTCACCTGAGGCTGCACCAAGTTCTGGATTGCCGGTGAAGAGGGCTCCAAAGCCAGCTAAAGCACTTCAGTCCCCTTATGTTGCCGACAAAATGAAACAAATGAAATCTTCAGGAAACATAGTGGTCTTCGAACACTACAATCAGAATGTACAAGATGCAGATGTTGCTGACTTTCAAAATTGGTTTCAAAGAGGATACAAACCGCATAACAAGTATGAAATTGTTGTCCTATTTTCATAATGTTCCAAATAATGATCCCTACTTCTCGCTTGCAGGAAGAAGTTCAATGATAAAGATGATGTCATCCGTCCACCTTTTTCCATCGGTCAGTACTGGGTGGGAAACAAGACATGGTGGTACGAACTTGTATCCAGGGAGGTGTCGTTGACTAGTTCGGTAAGTTACTACACAAAAGTAACAGTTCTAAAGGGTATGTCACAGTACAGGTCACATTAGTCAGAGTTTTTTGTATACTAGTCACATAGAGCATGGGTCACAGATCACACAAGCAGTAGGTCACAGATGATGCGTAGGTCACAGATCACGCGAACAGTAGGTCACAGCTGATGCCTGAGTCACAAATCACACGAATAGTAGGTCACAATCCGCGCTGCACAGGAAAACACATATCTGCAGGTGCAACAGTATAGCACACGTGTCTTTATTACGTCCGGGTTCAGTTATTGAGTGGTCACTAACTACAGATTGTAGTGATCACACATTCTAGCCGAGTCACACATCAAATTAACAGCTTATTGCATCATGTTTTCTGATGTATATATGGTTTCTAAATTGTTTATTGTACTTTCATCTCTATAGCATATGGACGTGTGCTTCTATTATATATGTCAACTAACAAGAAGTGCGAGAGATTTCACGTTTGTAGCTACCACAACGGACTCGTTATTCCAGGCCAAGCTCAAGCACATATATCTTAGTTTCAAGGATGATGCAAATGTTCTTGTCACGGATGATAGACTGATTGACGATATTACCGGTGCATGAATTCCATTGAGCACTCCATGGGCTGAAATCGACCTTGTGTTTATCCCACTTCTGCCTACCAACAAAGCACATTGGATGCTTGGAGTGTTGGACATAAAGGCACATACATTGCATTTATTGAATTCGTCCAGGAAGACATACAATGATATCAAAGTCCGTATTGGAATTGAACCCTTTGTCAGCATGCTTCCGCATCTCATGAAATGTGTTGGAATATGGAAAAAAGATTCCATGGAGTTGAATGTGGATTTTGATTTCTCTCTTCCCCAACAGAAAAATGGGTAAGTTTTTTTCCCTCCACTAACAGTTAAACATATTATAACATGCTGGATTTTATAACTAATGGTCTATTTTTTGCGTTCCTAGACATGATTGTGGCATTTATGTGGTCAAGTACGCGGAGTACATGCTACATGACGATATAGGATCCATGCCCATGAAGTTTAATGCGGGGAGAGCTCAGTTGGATGTAGTTTCACTGTTGTTCAAACATCGCGAAATCGGGAAGACTAGAAAGCCTGTGCAGCCTACTGGTGGGGAAAGCATTGTTTTAGAGTGATAGTGCAATTAGAAGTAACATGTTGTAATAGATGGAAACATTGTCTCGTGTTTTTGAAATTCGTTTGTAATGACAACGCAGTTCTTACTTTTGTCTGTTTATATCAAAAAGTTTCACTATATATCATATTTTACTATATTGACAACGTATCGAGGACAAAGTCTCGAAATTTAATGGTTACCTGCAGTTTTTAGGATTATCACAGGTCACCAATTTTTAGGATTATCTACAGTTCACAGGTCACTGATTAGTGTAATTTGGTCACAGGTCAATTCTCATTGTCACAGGTCACTGCACCCTGGTCACAGGTCACTGATTACCTACAGTTTTTAGGATTATCACAGGTCACCAGTTTTTAGGATTATCTACAGTTCACAGGTCACTGGTTTGTGTAATTTGGTCACAGGTCAATTCCCATTGTCACAGGTCACTGCACCCTGGTCACAGGTCACTGGTTACCTACAGTTTTTAGGATTATCATAGGTCACCAGTTTTTAGGATTATTTGCAGGCCACAGGTCACTGGTTTGTGTAATTTGGTCACGGGTCAATTCCCATTGTCACAGGTCACTGCACCCTGGTCACAGGTCACAGGTCACTGGTTACCTGCAGTTTTTAGGATTATCACAGATCACCAGTTTTTAGGATTATCTGCAGCTCACAGGTCACTGGTTTGTGTAATTTGGTCACAGGTCAATTCCCATTGTCACAGGTCACTGCACCCTGCACCCTGGTCACAGGTCATTGTATATTGTTTACAGGTCATGAAGAATTATCACAAGTCAATCCAATCTGGTCACAGGTCATTGAAGATTTGTCATAAATCATTTCATACTTTTGTCACAGCTAATTGCAACTGAACCACTTCCATTTTCCTGAGTCTTTGCAATATGTCACTGGTTATCTTTTGTTGGTCACAGTTTATCGCATATTTATCACATGTCATTGGATATTGATCGTATGTCACTTCATCCTAGTCACTCGTCTTGATAAATGGTCACAGGTCTCTGCACATTGGTCACAGCTCATTGACATCTAGTCACAAATCATTTCATATATTCACAGTTGATTGCACAGGGGTCACATGTCACTGCATTCTGGTCACAAATTATTTTATATTGGTCACAAGTCACTGCATTTGGTCACATGTCATTAATAATGATCAGAGTTACTGCATACTAGTCACATGTTATTGTAGAATGATCACAGATCATTAATATGTGTCATCCAATGTTGTGCATCCTACGTTTACAAAAAATCAATGAATGAAAAAATGAGGGAATTATAAAAAATATATCAATGTGTATTTCCAGTCTTCATCCTCTTCCTCTCTTCCTCTCTTTATTCTTGTTGCTTTGACTCAACGGAACTAAGCTGCTGCATGTTCTTCGATTGTGAACACTTTCACCACACCGACCGCATTTGACGGTTATGTTTTCCTCGTACGCTGGTCTGAATCTCTTCTCAATAGGCCTTCCACAA